TGTATACCTATTACTAAACTCATGGCGTATCCGAACGGCGCCTGACACCAGATTATGCCCGAACTATATATGATTTCTGCCGTCCCATTGATATATCCGCCGCCAACCCATGTGGCTATATATCGCACATAATACAAGAAATTACACATATTTTAAAGTTAATAAAAACAAATTGTTTGAATGTTGAGTTGTATACCAGTCATAGTGAAAATGCCGACAAACATGCCAATATTTCTGCCTGCTAACATCACTTCTTCCGTTTCAAACTCATCGCCCTCTCCCTCCGACTTCTTCTTACGTCCCGCCCAAATGCCCACAACGAGGATCACTATATAAAATAGTATCACTGATAAGACACCGGCGATGTTGACCGTCATCTTGAGATAATCTCTTGTGGTTTGGTTTATTGATACAAAAATTCAATATCTATATAACACCACAACAAATGAGAAAACAATTATTATAGAAAAAGCAACAAAAAATCGATCAACAAATTGCAAATCTCATAATATTCTTCTTATAAGTGCAGTATATATAATGTGAAATAAAAATTGAAATGTGAAATAAATAGTGAAATACAGTGAAATAGTGAAATTTGAACAGGTTCACTTTACAAACAGTGAAATAAAAATACATATTCTTCGAAACAATTTTATAATATTTTCATAATTTTTTTTGTATAAGTATTTTATATTAAGAATATTTTTAATTTTATAAATTAATAAAAATTCCTTTACTTGAAATTCGTAGGAATATTATCGGAATATTACACATAATAAGTGATTTGTTGTTGAAATTAAATAAATCCATAAATTAATACAAAATCAATAAAAATACAGATTAAAAGATAACTCTAATATTAAAAAAATAATTCACAAAAAATCAATTCGTATTGAGAAAGCGGTATAAACTAAAAAACGGTTTGACATTAAAATTGGGATACATTTGAATCGAGAATCGATTAAATAGTAAAAATAATGAGAAAAACGAGTAATGATAAGACATTTTGCTAAAAGACGACTAGAATTGTGTCGATTCTGACGATCTCTTAGCGTGGGCTCTGAGTCGGACACTACGAGAGTTGCTATGGATATTGATTTCCGTCAAGTTTTCTCTTTCTCTGCCTCCGCTTCTCCTCTCATTCACATCTCACTTCATTCACGTGTTTTGTTTAGCGTCCGATCGATACCATTCACTACTACTCTACACACAACTTA